GGCTCGACTAACTCAGATCGAACCCTGAAACAACCTCTTGGCTGATCTCAGTCAGAGCACGGCTAACTCACAGATCGAACCCTGAAACAACCTCTTGGCTGATCTATATGAGGGCATGGCTAACTCATAGATGGAATTTGAATTTGTTGAAGYATTTAAGAATGAGGACAAAGGCCCTCGAATCGACGGAAATAAGATACTTATGTTCAAATCATTTGATTTTTAGATTGTATGACCATGAAGTGGTATCCTGTAAGCACAGTGACCCAAAACAACACGTACTATGGACCATGGAAATCCTTACTTGTGGTCAAATATTTTCAATGCAATGTGTGTCAATGCACGATGATTCTTTGGGGGTAATTTCTCTCCACCTTGATAAATTCTCTCATTTTCCACAGTCACTTCGAATGCGAATGTTTTGGAAACAAAACACAACGAAATCAATTTTCGAACTCTTATTTWAAAATAACACACACAAAAAAAATTATTATTGCACTCTCGTCAATATCAACACGTTTATTTCGGATGTAAAATATTTTTCAAAACAAGACGTGATTGAGATAACAATTCAAAATGTTTAGTTGTACAATGACAATCTACAATGCATGTTGAAGCTGGATGAACAGTGCAACATTTTGCCCGTTTAAAAAAGGTATCGTCTCTATATTGGGCTTGCTGTGGTAGTACTGGTGAAAACTATTAAAAGCTCTTTTTTCTGTTTCAAACAAGTTTAAAAGGGTATTTTTCCTTGAACGTTTTCTCAAGGTTGCGTGCGCATTCAAATTTAAGGGACTTGACGGGCCACGATACCAGAACAGGAGCTTTAGAATTATCACTGACAAAGGCTTGATTTATGGCCATAGATTGAACTATTTTAGGTGAATATTTCAAAAGCCAGTCGTTATTTTACATGCATACACTTTTCTTTTTGTAAATATGTTCATAAAGAAGAGGATTTTGTAAGATATATTTATTATTTGATGTAAATAGAAAGAATTTCCATTCGTGCGATTTATAGATATTAATATGCGTTCGTTATCAATAATATTTATATATACTCGATTGCAAAATCATTGCCTCGGGTTCAAATTATAGAATATAAATGCTGAAAGGTATTCTGGGAAATGAAAAACTCTGATGTATTCAATTGAGATACACAGTCAATATGAAACATGCGAAAAGCCTCCATGCATGATCTCTGTCATTGCAACGTATAAATATTCCACAAGTTATATGACTAGATACATCTTATCAACATACTTCCCATGTACCATTTTATTCTCAGCTTCTATGTTCTATGTTTTTGAACCCGACAACGGTTTTGAAATTGAAAGTATTTGTTTAACGTTTCTCCGAGAGGCTGATACATTCATTAGAAGTCTCTTGGTGCTTTAACTATGATTGAGACTGAAATACAAAAGCAATAAAATTTCTAGATTGTGATGTTAATTTTTTGAAGTTTATTCTTAGAGACGGTTTAAATCTTACCTTGGAGAGGGCTGTGGGGCGATTCGCTTGCCCGGCAACCCATTACGAGAATTAAATTTGACCCCTTCTCCCTTGTTGTCTATTCTGTTTGTTGTAAAAGTGATTAAAAATAAATAACCTGTGTTGTATGCTATTTAACGTCATTCTGAGTTGTTTTTGAATGACGTTAAATACCATAACAACAACACAAGTGCAAAGTATGTTCAAATTTTTTTTAATTACATATTTTTCCGTCCCATACATTGACTGTAAATGCTATCATATACACCACAAATACATTGCTTGGGCTGCCTTTGGTGCGGGTGAATTTCACTGCTCCAGCCCCAGCCGGAGTGTTTTTATCGGGTATAAAACACGAGCTGTGAGTTTTTATTAAATTTCTTAAAATTGTACCGAATTCGCGAAATGAACCTAGTTTGATAGAGAAAATCCAAGTTAAATTTTATGCAAATGAAGACGAATCTATATCAGCTATAAAACCTTCATAGCGTCATGATTTCTATGTTGTTTCCTTCATGAATTATTAATGAGGTTTTTAAGAGACTTTTTGAGAACACTGAAAATACGAAATATGACAAATCAATGCACACAACTGTGGTCATCATTCACTGTGTTCTTCCACAGCACTAGCGCTATCAGATTTCTTCATTCATCCGATGTAGGGCAGCCAGGCAGGCAAAAATCTCGTGTGCCATTATCGAAACGATTATTCCCTCCACGCCCGCCGATCTAATATAAATGAATGAAAAAAAGTTTAGTCGTGCAATCTATTGACTAGTCCAAACACTGAGAAACAGAGAAACTATGGAGCTATTTCAAATAAGTTTTGCTGCATGTTGCTTGCTAAGCTTGAAATGTATTATATTCACATTAAAAAAGTGTCAGCACAGGAGAAACTATGCCGGAAAAACGTGCAGACAAAGTTTAATTAGAAAAAGTTCATATCTTTGTGACCTTTCCCTGATTGAATTCTGTATCCCTGTTGCAGTTGGCAGATTAGTTGTTGAGGTAGGAAGTAAGCCTCCTCCTCCTCCTTCCCCCTCCCCCTCTCCTCTCCCCCCGATCCCATGAGAAATTCAGTATACTAGCTGACGTCCCATAGAAATGTTATTCTCGAACTGTTCAACGAATCAGAACACTGATCAAGACCCAAATGATAGGCAATCGGAGTCCAGATTAAGATCTCCATGCGAGATTTTGGTATCTTAATTTGCATTTTTACATCTATTCCTTAAAAATCTGAAAACTTATACAGTCAATGTCATTAACGTTGTCCACCGAAAAAAGACATTTACACATTTACATATTTTAGACTAAAAGAAATATCACGTGTTTCATTATATATTCTTTGCTTCGTGTGCGTCAACCTGAACTTTAAATGTAAAATTCAACTCGTGAATCGAAAATCCAGAATGTCCCGAACATTTAGTGAGGATTTAAGATGGAGAACGGTACTTCAGCGTTTGTTTTATGCCCGAACGTTCGTGAGAACACGTGATATTTCTTTTGGTCTAAATGTCTTTTTTCGGTGGACAAGGTTAAGGTGGCACGGTATTTTAAAAGATTATCACAATGGTGAATTTAGGTGAACTTTCTGTAGCGGTATTTCAGCGCCAAGGAATTTCTTTAAACTTGGCCAGGTTGTGTGTTATGTTTATCTAAAAGGATGCCAAAATTTTCGCAAAATCGAGTTTTGTGAAAACAGTGCATTTGCTTAATCGCTTACATCTTACAAATTATTAAACTGAAATGCAATCAGAATATACCATATTATAACTAAATGATTGTTTTAGATGTTAGTAAAGTTTTATGGCAATTGCTTAAAGGGCGCAAACGTTATGAGTCCAAAATCGACATAAGCGATTCGGCCATTTGGAAATACCGAGCCACCTTAATGACATTGACTGTATATAAATCTGCAGCTTGCAACGCAACAATGTTCATTAACAAGTTACACGATTTTGTTGCCCGTATTAATACCGCACCTTTACATGTTGTTCTGTTACTGTTATTGTGCCATCCTTTCTTTCCACAGTCAGATTACGTACGAAAGTCACAGATTGTACTGTATTTAGAAAATAAATTAAAAAAACATATTTCGTATACTTTTACTAGGACTAAAAACAGGACCTTATTCGCTTCCAAAACCTTCACTGCTTTGAACTTAGATGAATATCAAAAAAAGATCACGTTAATTAAAGCAGAATTTCGCTAAAATGTCATGGTGCACATTAGAGAAAAGGGTTGCGCAACCATACGTTTCAGCATGTTTTTCAAGGAAAATTCAGTAATGTTCGTTTCCACCGAATATACAAAAAAAAAATCGTTATTTTTCAAGTCCATTTTAGGCAAGTTTGAAAATTTGGCTGTATTTCTGACTGAAAGTATATTTTTTTATTAAACGTTTAAAGAAATAATTACTGATCGTAAGTGGTCATTTTTTAAAATGAAAATCGATTTAAATGCTTGCCTTTCTGATTGGCTGATTGATATGTCGACAGATCAGGCGTTGCGATATTTATTATTAGAATAAATATGACTATGATGTTATTATTTGTATTACCTTGGTCCTCCTGTAGCTTCCACTTCTTCCTCACATAATAGCCGATCCCCGATATACCGAATAACACTGCACAACAACCGAATGCAATCCCTAATTCACAGCCAATCGAGCATTTCTTGTCATTCGACTCTTGTGATCTTGTTGGATTCTCCTTACCTTTTGGTTTCCTTTCACCTGATTTTAAAAATGTGTAAACCCTCAGTGTAACCGATAAACTTTAAAATTTAGAAAAAAATAAATATAACTGCTGGCGTTTTAGTGTTTTGAATTGAATTGAAGTCCAGACGCTCTACCTTCTCCTTTGCCGCTCCGCTTTCGTTTTTGGGCTTCCTGTGTCTTAGAAGGGGAGGGACCCTCCCCTTCCGCGACACAGGAAGCTTAAAAACAAAAGCGGAGCGGCAAAGGAGAGGGTACAGCGTCTGGACTAAGCTCTTTCTAATCGAATTAGAATTTATAAGTTAAGAATGGAGGGAAACGTTGATCGCAGCTGATAATATTCAAAAATAAGCACTATTATTCGAAAGAGCAAGCAGGCCGACGAAATATGTATTTTTTGAAAGTTTTATTGCTATGAATACTACAGAGGATTTTATATGTGTTCAGTCAACTGAGGACTGACTAGTCTTTCTGGTGCTTTCCACATATTTGATCCTCATAACTGAAAGTGATTTTTATGCTTTTACAAAATAACTATTGAATTGAGATAAAAATTGAAAGTATTTGATGATGGAACTATATGTTCTCCTTAGAATGAGCTAACGAATCGGAACCAATCACAACGTTTGTTACAATCCATTCAAAAGTTGACGAACAGCAAAGCAACTTGAAGCAAAGCTGCACGAAGGACACGAAGGTAAGGAAATGATTTAGTTGGAAAATCTCGCTAAAAAGTCCATCTGCATAACGAAGAATTTCTCATTCTCGTACTTCTCAAGCTTTAAAAATGTCAAGCGCAAGTCTTTTATTCAAAAACTGAGCTGGAAATACTTTGTGAAAATATTTTGTGACTTGCTTAATATCAAGTGTGCAAGACGAAATCATTCTAGCAAGGTCGCCTTGTAAGCTTGTTATTTGATGTTGTGTCGATGTTATGACATTTTGCTTTACTTTATTACCGTTAAAGGCTTAGTTAAACTAGTTAAACATCGCTGGAGTTGGTGAATTAAGCTGTTTGGCGTTCGGGTGGCTGTAAGGTAAGCTTATAGTTTTGAGAAGATATTTAATATGTAGCCATGGCCACATTTAATGTATTTGCATACTTCTAGGCACGTGCTTTTTGCTGCCCAACAAGCATTTACACGCCTTATTTGGTAAAACTAGCCAACTTCGCATTAAAATGCGCCGTCGTATACATAGAAGTATGCTAATACATGCGTAAAATGTAGCTTAATTAATGTGGTAATTAGTTTTACCGGCGCGTTGCGCTGTTACAATTTTAAAGATTGATGAACAATATGAGAATTTCATATTCTTCAATATCAGAAATATTGATGTTGAAGAATATGACATTCTTCAATATCAGAGATAAACTTTTTTTAACAACTTGCATTGTTTTGTTCTTGTTCTTCACATTTCTTAAGATTATAAAATATTTAAAATATAACGCACGCGCTGATTGGCTGGCTACCGAGTCAGAGTCTCCAAGTGTGCTGGATTCCAAAACTCTGTATTGAATAGTCTTTATTGTAAACATGAATTTGATTAGAAAGTCTATTCAAATCCTTAATATTTGAAGTATATTTAACCAATCATCGATTTACACAAGTAACGTTGTTATACTTGAAGAGTATTTTTCATGGATCTATTTTCTGACCTCCCTGGTCTGATACGTAAATTCATACTCTAGCTATTTAAAATGGCACGTGCCCGCCTTTCCCCCCAGTCCCTGCGCTAGTGACCTTTGTGAGAAATTTCTAGCGAATGAAAACGATTTTGTAAATTACTGATTTTCCGCTCTTGAGCCTTCATGGTGTGACTGCTTGTCACCCGTCTCAAACTGACTGAATGACCCGTTTTGCTCGTATTCTGTGCCGTAGCATTCGTAGCCCCCAATCCCCTCGCCCCCCAATCCCCTCTCCCCTCAATCCCCTAACCAGACGGCGCTGCGCCTGCTACCAGTGCTGAGGAAAGACAAACGCGTCCGGCAAATTTAAATCTGATGAGAATCACTGGATGATTCTTTACAAAGATAGCGAATACTTTGAATCCATAGAATTTGTTTCAGTTGTTTTAGTTGAGAAATCTTCAAAACTTAAAAATTGCCAAGAAATTATTTTTTTCGCTTGCCTTTTCAACTCGTGGATACACGAAGTGTAGAAACGAATTATCGTGAGGGGTCTGAATATGCAGACGATCATTAAAAGTTTAATAATCGTTCTGCTAAGGACGCAGTGAGCCCAATCTCTGGAAAGTGCAACTATTATCCACGTACCAAAGGTTGGTTTGCTTAAAAATAACACTAGGGGCATTTCATTGACTTGTTTTTTGTTTTTTTTTGTGTGTTTTTTTTCGATTATTTTTTTCTCAAAAGGTGTAAAAATCGATTATATTTTAGATTATTTTGAGGGGGATTAAAATTTGCAGTAAGTAAATATGAAATATAAATATAAATGTACTTACTCATGAGCTCGCAACATGTTCCCGTATACCCAGTCCTACAACTGCATTGTCCATATGAAGGTGTCCCTCCGTTCTGGCAAGGATACATGTTACAGTTGCTCTCTTCCCTGAAATTATAATAACATGTTCCTCCGCAGGCTTCATCAGCTGTCTTAGTTCTTGTTCTATAACGAGTTTCCGCGTTGCCACATCGATGCAAACATACTGACCAATGTGACCATTCGCTGAGTTGACAATCACGGGCATGACATGGTGGCGGTGCTCGTCTTCTACGACGCCTTCTCATCCAGGCTTCGCCATCGCGAAGAAACATAATCAGCAGCAGCAGTAACACGAAACACTGTTGTGCTAACATTTTTTGTAGAGATACCCGAGAATTCGGCTTCAAAAGGCTGAAAAGAAATCCCAAAATCTTCTCAATCTACGAATTAGCAATGTTTTCACTACTAACAATGTTATCGATGTTTTCAATGCTTCGCCGATACAACTCCCTAAGAAACTACCGGTCCAGTTTCATGAACATGACATACAGATACTATTTTGCATTATCGAAGTTATAAGACCAAATAGATTTACCGTTTCGTAAAGAAATTTCTTGCTATTCCATTGAACAAGTTTTTCACTTCCTTGCGAGTTCTTTCAAAGCAAAGGTCCACTGCAGGACTTGGTCACGTGCTTAGATACCACTTAGCAACGTCTTGCTAGTTTGTAAACAAACCAGCATCATATACCAAGTAAAGTTATACGAGGTCAAATTCATCTCTTAGATTTCTAGGACGTTTTCGGTGAAATCCAGATCCAGACTCAGAAATGAAGAAGAAAATTCGCTTGCTCCTCTAAAACACAATATCAGCATGTATTTGAGGTAACTCTGGATAGGATATTGGCTTATTTTTACTTGCATTCCAAAGGACCGGATGCGTTGATACGAACCCATGTTGACTCATTCATGGGCTCACTGTCAAGAATTTTGTGAAATATGTCGATATAGCTGACGTCAACGAGCGCGCGCTCTTTCCGTTGGTTGTTTTGATCGCTAAAAATGAGTTTTTATCGTTGTTGTTATTGTAAAAAACAAATTGACATCAGATTTTTATGTGTCTGTCCTCTTATTGACAATAAATTTCGTCATCACATTGTCAAAGTAGTATGCGGATCCACACTACTTTGACAATGTGATGACGCAATTTATTGTCTATAAGAGGACAGACACATGAAAATCTGATGTCAATTTGTTAACCACTTCTCAAATGGTTCTTAGTTTAGACAGTTCCATTTGCATTGCATGTGCACCCTTCCTGCAAGAACCCTGGTCACGGCCATGAAAATAAATATGAAAAGTGAACATGACGTTTCGGACGGCCACTCCATGTTATCAAAGTATAACTCGAAAAGGGATATTAAAAACAAAATGCAAACATTTTACTTAATTCACTGGAAAATTTAAGTCGTTATCAAGCCGTGATGCTTAACCTTTGAGTTTTCTAGACAATCGCCACAACACAAGAGTGAAACATTTCTCAGTTACAATACTAATTCTTACAATAGAGATTTTTAAAAAAAGTAGTGGTTTTGTAAAGAGAAATTTTGTCTTGAGAATGATGACATGAGGTCGTCAAAACGTCCAATACTTTTGTCTCTAATTTTTCTTTTAAAATAGAGATTTACTTCCGTTTTCTAGGAAATATCGAATTACTAGCTAATGTGCACTTATACAACTTGAATACAGGCCAATGTTTTCCCTCATACATGACCTTAACAGGCCCGTAGCTAGGAATTTTGTTGGGGGGGGGGGGGGGGGGG